ATTGGAACACTAATGCATTGGTGGTATTGTGAAATGATCCAACTATTTTGGAGAGCAATTTGGAACTATGCCCAAAGGGCTATAAAAATGTACATACCCTTTGACCCAGCAATAACACTTCTAGGGCTGTATCCCAGAGAGATCATAAAAATGGGAAAAGAACCCACATGTACAAAAATATTCAAAGCAGCTCTTTTTGAGGTGGCAAAGAATTGGAAACTGAGAGGATGCCCATCAATTGGGAAATGACTGAACAAGTTGTGGTATATGAATGTAATGGGATACTATTGTGCTATAAGAAATGATGAACAGGCTGACTTCAGAAAAACATAAAAAGACTTGTATGGTCTGATGGTGAGTGAAGTGAGCAGAACCAAGAGAATGTTGTACACAGTAACAGCCACATGGTGCCATGACTAATATTGATAGACTTAACCCTTCTTAGCAATACAAGGATCTAAGACATCTCCAAAGGCCTCATAATGGAAAATGCTATTCACAAAGAAGAAAGAACTATGGAGTTTAAATGAAGATCGAAGTACACTATTTGCTATTTTTTCTTCTGTTGTGTTTTGTTTTCTTTCTGGTGGTTCCTCTTATTGGCTCTAATTCTTACTTACAACATGACTAATGTGAGAATATGTTTAATATGAATGTATATGTATAGCTTATATCAGATTGTGTGCTGTCTTGGGGAGGGAGGTGAGAAGGGAGAGGGAGAAAAATTGGAAGCTCAGAAGCTTATGGAAGTGAGTGTTGATCATTCAAAATTAATTAAAAAAAATAATCCACCAGGCTCAGATTCTTATAATCTAGTCAAGTGTTCAGATACTTAAAATCTAGCCACTGCTCAGATTCTTATAATCTAGCCAAGGGCTCAGATTCTTAAAATCTGGCCCACTTGTATTAGTGATACAAATGATTAGATTCCTTAAGAGTTTGCACAATATGACAGATGTTCTAACAAATCTTGTCTTTGGCTGAAAAAAAAAAATGAATTCACCAATTACCTCCTGAAAGACATCCCAAGTGGAAAATGGTAAGGAATATTGTAACCAAATTATAGAATTATCAGGTCAAGGAGAAAATACTTCAAGTCACCAGAAAGAAACAATTTAAATATAGATCCAAAGTTTGAATTATACAGGAACTTGCAGCTTCTACATTAAAAGATTGAAGGGCTTGGAATAGGAGCTTGGATTATAACCATGTGTCAACTACCAGCAATAATTTTTCAGAGGAGGAGGTGGACATTTAATGAAAAGGGCATTTCTAAAGCTTGATGAACAGACCAGACCTGAAAAAAGTTACTTTCCAATACAAGACTCAAGCATAAAAAGGTAAACAGGGAAGATAAATTGTAAGAGACTCAATAAGATTAAAATGTTTCCATTTCTACATGGGAAGATTATACTTGTAACTGCTAAGAACTTCTCATTATTAGGGCAGTTAAAAGGAGTATTCATAGACTGAGGGCAGAGGAGTTAGTTGATTATGATGGTATGATAGGCAAAAATAAATACATAAAATGAAGGGATGAGAAAGAAGGATGCACTGGGAGAAAGAGGAAGTAAGAGGTAAAATGGGGTAAATTATCTTGCATAAAAAGAGGCACAAGAGTTTTTACAAAAGTTACAAAAATCTGTGATGGCAAACAACACTTGAAATGTACTCTCATAAGAATTGGCTCAAACAGAATAATCCACATATTCATTTGGGTATAAAAATATTTTACTTTACAGGGAAGTAAGAGAAGAAGGGGAATCAGGGAAAGGTGCAAGGATAGAAAAATGAATGAATTGGGAATACAGTGATCAGAAGCAAAACATTTTTGAGGAAGCACAGAGTAAAAGGAGAAAGAGAGAGAGAAGGATAAACAGGTGAGAAGGGAATATTATGAAGGAAATACACAGTAATCATAACTGTGAATGTGGATGGGATAAACTCACTCATAAAATAGAAGTGAATGGCAGAGTGGGTTAAAAACAGGAATCCTACAATGTGTTGTATACAAGAAACACCCTTTAAGCAAACAAACATAGAGTAAAGGTAAGTAGCTGGGACACAATCTCATATCTTCAGGTGAAGTTTTAACAAAAAGCATAGGTATCAATCACGATCTCAGACAAAGCAAAAGCAAAAAATGGATTTAATTAAAAGAGCTGAAGAGAAAAACTACATTTTGCTAAAAGGTATCATAATCACAGAATATCAATAGTAAGCATATATGCACCAAATGATATAGCCACCACAATCTAAAATCCACAATACACAAGGAAAGAGTTAAAAGAGTTACATTAGGAAATAGAGAATAAAACTAAACTAGTGGGTGACCTCGACTTTCCCTTCTCAGAACAATTTTAAAGAACTTATGATGAAAAATGTTACATAACTCTAGAGAAAGAATTAATAAAATTTGAATGCAGATTGAAGCATACTTTTATTTTAACTTTCTTATTGCTTTTCTTTTTTTTTTACAACATGACTGATATAAAAATAGATTTTGTCTGATGTCACAAGTATATCAAATTGCTTGCCTTTTCAGTGGGGGAAGGAGAGAAATTGAGAATTTGAAACTCAAAATTTAAAAAACAATGTTAAAATTATTTTAAATTTAATTTGAAAAAATAAAACATTAAAAAATATTATAAACAAAGTTATAATACTAAAGAACAGATGACAATGAATTGGAATTGACCCATGGTTTGTTCAGCCTAATTGTTCAATAAGGAGAACTCTACATATTAATATTATTAATAATAATGCTTAAATGGGACATCCTAACTGCTTAATGCAAGACATGAACATACTCTATTTGGTGACATAATCATTTCCCACTTTTGGCAAATTTATTCTAGTCCAAGAGAAACTGTTTGAATATGTGAGAGAATTTTTTTGGGGGTTTTGGTAAAGAACGCAATCAATTGTGAACCAAAGTTGAAATATCTATATTGTCACACTTAGAAATATCTGTATTATCTTTGCACAACATTAGAACTATATGTCAGATTGGGTAGGGTCTCAAATTTCTGTTGCAGGATACATTCCATTGTTACACTGACAATGCAAGTCTGAACACTGTCTCATTACAAGACAAATTTGGTTGTGTGGACATGACGCATTTTTTTCAGTCATACTGCTTCTAAGATATTTACAGGGGGATAACTTTTTACTCCATTCTTTTCTTCACAGAAATTCCCCACCATAGGACCAAAACAGTTCCATGCCATAGCTAGCAGTACCTTTTCAGCAGATGGTAGGATTCTTTTCCCAGTGGAAAATTCATGTGTTTTCAATGCCTGTTTTGTCATTTACTCTCACTAACATGTTACACCCACATTTCTAAACATCATGTCCAACTTCTGCATATTTAAAAATAATAAATTCTTTCTTCATATTTAAGTGTGTACAGTCTACCATGCACTTCACTTAATTTAATGCATCTGAAGATTAACATTAACTGACAGGTGACTATTCAATTAAAATGTCATCTGTCAGGTCACAACTTTGGAAAATTGAATATATGTAATGATATTGCATACTTATATACCAACTTCATGATCAGGTATGAAGTGATGCTGATGTGGCAATATTTACATAGTAGGTACATGAGTCTTTGAAAAATGCAAGATTCTTCTTATGGGGGCAGAGAAGATCAAATCACAAATTCAGAAGAGGTTAACATTGCCAATATACCTACAACCAAGGAATGATTTGTAGGAGAATGGTATTTTCCAAGATATTATGTTTAAAAGAAAAGGAATGTATTTAAACTATTCTAATTTCACTTTATAAATCATTTTCATTATCTAATCCATATATATTCCCTATTAATATTTTTTCACTTCATATCATATTTGGGGGGCAACAAATTCTGTCCATTTATTTCTGTGCACAAAGTAGTACTTCATTTCATCTATTCCAAAATCATCTCTTTTAAACTTTAAGACTATGAGATTAAGGAAATTCTATGATTATGAGCTTAAGGGCACATATACGTGTTCTCCCTATTCTCTCCATCTGGAACTCTGATTTTTTTTGGTATATAAAATATCCAGTATGAGATGGTGTGGGTCAGGAACTTATCTGTAATTTATAGTTTTGAAAGAATTGTTTGGGACACTGAAGGTTTAAGGGTCTTGTCTAGTGTCACACAGCCAGGATGTGTCAGAGAGTGGCACTGAACTCCTATCTTGGTTTCAAAGCAAGAATCAGTCTAGGTCATGCAATAATGATACTTTGTCATTCTACAATTCAACTTTCCACCCTTCCTGAATTTATAGTATGAGTGCAAAGACTTTTATTCACCTGCAAACATCATGAATAACCCTTTTGTGGTTGTTTATTTTCAGCATATCTTCAAAGGATTTTTTTCTTTTCCATTAATCATCATTTTTATATTTCCTAACAGAGGCTAACCCAAAATACAACAATATTCCAGAAGATGATGAATCTTAGTTTTATACAAGGAGAGGGTTCATTTCCTCATGGTCTCCAAGAAGGCACTGCCTCAGTCTACTGAAATAACACATTTCCTACTGAGATAAATGTCTGTCAAACCATTTTTTCTGAAATTTCATAAAGAATTATACCATCCAGTGCCTACTTTTTAAATCAAATTAGTTCTAAATCTAATTTAGTCATATTTAATTTCAGGTAGAATAAATGGGCATCTGAAAACTCCAGAAGTGAAATATTATCCATTATTTCTTCATTGTTTTACATGTACAACCAAAAACTGAAAGAAAAAAAAACAATGTATACACAAAATTGCTTAAATGACTTAATGTTTATATCATATTAATATTTAAAGATGATTGTAATTGCACAAATAATGGTCATATAAATGAAACTATTGACAGTCATCTTTCCTAATGAGTTATTAGAAAATTTTCTTGGAATGTTCATTTTTGACTCTTAAGAATAAAAAAAAAAACTGTTAAATCATTTGTTAGAAAAGAATGAAGTATAAACACACTCTAGAATAGTGTATTTCTTACCTTGATCAAAGGGTCTACCCGAATTCCAAGTACGGAAATAATCATCCTAGTTGAAAAATAATGTGATTTTAGTATGATATGAATAGCTACAATTCAGAAATGCATGTAAAAATCTTAAATGCCAAATAGAGAACTTGTGTACAAACCTCTACTTCCTTTGATGGCAAGCAGCAAGAAGTAAAACAAGGAAAAAAACATAATTATCAAGAAGAAATAAACTGCTGACATAGCATTGAAATGTTTTTCTACAAATATGCAATATGAAATTACTATGTAATTTAAATCCCTAAATGAAATTGCTTACATGTAACTGTTTTTAGGTAAAATTTTCCTCAGTATTTTAATAAAAAATGTCCATGTATGGGGCAGGATTTTTTATGAGAAATAATGGTTTTATGTGAATATGCAATTTAAAATATACTAAGGTTCAATTATATAATGTCATTTTACACCAGTAATTTAAAATAGAGCTATTAATATTGTAAGGTAACAATATAAAAATATTCCACAGTAATCCATATTATAGATAGATTTTAGTTATTACATTTTGAGGTCATTAATTGAAAATTCAATTAAATTATGAATATGCAGTTGAAAATCTGAAAAAATGGAGAGACCTAATTAAACTTTAAATTAAGTTTTAAATCTGCGATATTAATTTATATGTTGATAAAGATAGCTCCTACATGGAAACTTAATATGTACTGATGAAAAAATAGTTCTGGACAAAAAATGAACTAAAAGGAACAAGCCTACACATTTTCCATATATATAAGAAAGATAGCGGCATGCAAATGTTTGGGAAAAATTTGTGTAGTCCTCAAAAGAAAAACAAGGCTAAATCCACAATTCACAGAAGGAATTTTAATAGATATAGATATATTTAGATAAGTTTGCTTCAATGAAATGTGTTTCCTTTTTGTTCCTATATATTGTGTTTCATCAATTACAAACATTATTCCATGAAATAGGCTTCACCAGACTTCCAAAGGGGTCTGCAAGTGTACACACACATGAGCCTGCATGCACGCATGCACACACACACACACATTCACATATGAATTCAGTCCTTATTTTAACATTCACATGTAAAATCTCATGAATAACGATTTCTCCACCTGAAAAAAATCTCATAATGTAAATAAATGATCTTAAGCTGTTCAAAGTAGTTTATTCTTTTTATGGCCATAAAACACCTATGACATTCCCTTGAGGATGAAGATAATGTAATAAAATAATATTACTGAGGAGATTCTGATGAATCTGGAAATGATTCCATATTTATCCCATTAATCACCAATACTATTGATGAGTGGATGAATCACAAAACTCTTTCAAGTGGTATGTCCAGAACAAAATTAATAGATCACCAGGAGATACATTTCCCCAACGTACTCAGTTAAAGGAAAGGATAGAGGCAGGATAGAAGAGGAGGAAGGAAAGAGTTGCACTAAAAAATTTTCTCAGGATTCACTTCTGGGAGCTAAGATGGTGGAGAAATAAGTAAGTCACTCTCTCTCTCACTCATTGAACTCTAAAACCCCAGAAAATATTACCCCAGGAAAAACCCTAACAACTGAGCCAGCAGAAATACAAGGTGCAGCAGTATTTTAACACTGGAAGCTTGGGGAGATAGCAGGAAACATCCCTCTTGCTCTGGTGGAAGGGGAAAAGGTGTCCCAGCAAACTACACCTCAGCAAACTAGTGAGAGATTCTGAGCACCAGGGTGATGGAGCAGGCAAGCTGCAACACCAGGAACACCCCTCCCTGAATGCCACAGCACAGCCAGGAGAACCAATAGACTCAAGCAGCAACACCTCCCACAGGTTCATCAGAAGTCCAGGAAGCACAATTACAGGTGGGAAGGCATCCTCTAGCAGCCAAACCTTCTGGGACTTCAGAGCAGCTCTCCTCAAGAGGCCAGATCCCTCTGTACTCCAAGAGTGTCACTATTACTGACCCCAGCACAGCACCAAGTAAGCTGCCAAAACACAAGAGCCTCCAGCTGCCGGCATCTGACACCCCAGCACACAAAGAAAGTGACCAGGTCCCTGGCTTCATCACAAGAACCTTGGGACAATACTCCCTGTGCTGGAGCACAGGACCATTCAATTTAAAATGCCATGAAATAGGCAAACATCATGAGCAAAAAGCAGAAACCATAGAATCTTTCTAAGAGGACTGGCATGATCAAAGCACAAACTCAGAAGAGGACAAAATTGTCAATATACCCATATCAACTGTTCTGAAGCCCAAATGCCTTCTTGAAAGGCCTCAAGAGAAAATTTAAAAGTCAAATAAGAGAGGTAGAAGAAAAATTGGGGAAAAATGAAAGGAATGCAAGAGAGTCAATAGCTCAGAAAAGGAAAGACAAAAATTGACTGTGGAAAATAAGTCCTTAAAAATACAATTGGCCAAATGGAAAAGGAGACACAAAAACAAACTGAAGAGAAGAACTCTTTAAAAAGTGAAATGGACCAGATAGAAATGGAGTTACAAAAGCTAACTGAAGAAAACAATTCATTAAAAATTAGAACTGGGCAAGTGAAGGCTAATGATTCTATGAAACATCAAGAATAATTCAAACAAAATTTAAAAAATGAGTAAATAGAAAAAACATAAAATATGTAGTTGGAAAAAAACAACTGAAGTGGAAATAGATCCAGAACCTATAATCTAAAAATTATTAATCTTTCTGAAACCCATGTTTGAGAGAGGGAGAGAGAGAGAGAAAGAGAGAGAGAGAGAGAGGGAGAGACTGGACAGCATTTTTCAAGAGATCATAATGAAAACTCTCCTGAGGTCCTGGAACCAGAGGGTAAAATAGTCACTGAAAAAATCCTCCAATTACCTCCTGAAAGTGATCCCAAATTGAAAATACCAAGGAATATTATAGCCAAACTCCAGAACCATCAGGACAAGTAGAAAATAATGCCAGCAGCCAGAAAGAAACAACTTAAATATTATGGAGCCAAAGTCAGGATTGTACAGGACCTTGCAGTTTGTATATTAAAAGATTGGAGGTCTTGAAATAGGACATTCCATAAGGCAAAGAAGTTTGGATCACAACCGAGGATCAACTGCCCAGTGTAACTGAGAATAATATCTCAGGGGAGAAGAGTGAACATTAAATGAAATAAGGACTTTCAAACTTCCTGATGAAAAGACCAGAGCTCAGCATAAAATTTGATCTTCAAATACAAAACTCAAGAGAGGCATAAAAAGGTAAACAAGAAAAAAAATTTTTTTTTTAATAAGGACAAACTGTTTACATCACTACAAGGGGAAATGATACTTGTAACTCTTGAGCACAGTATTTTTATTATATTATTTAGAAGAGTTATACATAAACAGAGAGCATTGGAATAAGTTGACTTTGACATGATGATAGAAAATTTAATTAAGTGGTGAAAAGGAATTATATAGGGAGAAGAGGAAAGGAAGAGGCAGAAAAGTATAAATTATATCACATGAAGAGTTGCAAAGACTTATTACAGTAGAATGGCTCAAATAGGGGATAACAAACTCAGGCATAGCAATATAACTTACCCTATAGCCAGTAGGAGGGGAAAGTGGAAAGAAAAAGTAGGGAGTAGATAGAAAGTAGGAATGAAGTAGCAAGGCAAAATTGGAAGAAAAGGGAAGAGATTGATAGGGGGGCAGATTAAGGGAGGTGGTAAGCAAGAGCAAAATACTAGTGAGAAAGGAAAAGGAGAAAAGGGAGAGAAAAGCATAAATGGGGCTATAGAGAAATAGGATGGAGAGAAAGACACAGATAGCACTCACAACTATGAATTTGAATGGGATGAACTCTCCCATAAAACAAAAGCAGATAACAGAGCGGACTGAAAAACAGAATTCTACAATATGTTGTTTACCAGAAAGGCATTTGAAAGAGAGGGATATACACAAAGTAAAGGTAAAAGACTGGGGTAGAATATATTATGCTTCAGCTGAAATTAAAAAAAAAAAAACAGGGGTAGCAATCTTGATTCCAGACAAAGCAAAACCTAAACTAAGTCTAATTAAAGGAAACTTACATCCTGCTAAAAGTTACCATAGACAATGAAGCAATATCATTACTAAACCTATGTGCACCAATTGGTAGAGTATCCAAATTCTTAGAGAAGAAGTTGAAGGAGTTACAAGAAAAAATAGACGACAAAACTATACTAGTGGGAGACCTCAATCTTCCCCACTCAGAATTAGATAAATCTAACCACAAAAGAAACAAGAAAGAAGTTAAGGAGGTGAATAGAATTTTAGAAAAGTTAAATATGGTAGACCTCTGGAGAAAATTGAATGGGTATGGAAAGGAATATAACTTTTTCATAGTTGTACATGGCACCTGCACAAAAATTGATCATGAATTAGAGCAATACAGTGCAGAAGGGTGGAAATAATAAATACTTCTTTTCAGATTATGATGAAATATAAATTCCATGTAATAAAGGGTCATGGAAAGATAGAGTAAAAAAAAATAATTGTAAACTAAATAATCTAATGCTAAATAATGAATGGGTCAAACAACAAATCTTAGAAACAATCAGTAATTTCATCCAAGAAAATGACAATAATTAGACAACATACCAAAATGTATGAGATAAAACCAAAGCAGTTCTTATGTGAAAGTTTATATCTTTAAATACTTACATGAAGAAAACAGAGAAAGAAGAGTCCAATGAATTGGTCATGCAATTAAAAGAAGCTAGAAAAAAAGATAAATTAAAATCTCTAAATAAATATGAGTTAGAAATACTGAAAACCTAAGTAGAGATTAATAAAACTGAAATTAAGAAAAATATTAAACTAATAAATAAAACTAAGAGTTGGATATATGAAAAAAATAAAAATAGATAAAACTCTGGTTAATTTGATTGAAAAAAGAAAGAAGAAAACCAAATTACTATTATCAAAAATTAAAAAGATGAATTTACCACCAATGAAGGGGAAATTAAAACAATAGGAGCTATTTTGCTCAACTATATGCTAACAAATTTGACAATCTTACTGAAATGGAAGCATATTTGCAAAAATATAAAATA